TACCAGGAGAGGATAGAGAGAGAGACATCTGTACTATATACTCGGTTGAGGTAGGAATAGAAAGGGGGCGCCCCAACCATGAATTCAAATAGGGGTATTCATGAAAAATCGAAAAACTGAATCACAAAATGTGGTTAATTCAACCGATTGGTTTGGTTTTGATTTGAAATTTTTGAAAAACCTAAGGATCAGTTCGATTTTTGGTTAACCTACAAAAAATAGGCAGTTAACTTTATTGACTGGTATATATATTTTATATATACTTTAATATATGCCATATATTTTATATATATATATATATTATAAATATAAAAAACCGAAGAACCGAACCAATCAAAACCGAAATCGGTGGACCGATTAACCGGTGGTACCATTCGGTTTTGGTTTGGAGAAATAGAAAACCGGTACCACTGGTTTGATTTGCAAAAATTGCCCATGGTTCACACCCCTAAATTCAAATACCTTGCCCCTAACCCTATCGAGGCTAGAAATCCCATCCCCGTTACTATTCCAGCAGGTCATTCTTACATATGGTCAGTGGTCAAAAAACCCATCCCACTCCACGGGGACGGACCAAATTACCATTTCTAAGTTGAGACAGGTTTGGCTCATCCCCAACCCAATCACAACTGACCCATTTCTTGGGTTTATGTATTTGGCAAATCCTTGATTGAATCCATTTCTTGAGCTCCTACTACATTCACATGCTGCAATACAAATGGCTGTATAGTGGGTTTTGCATGTTGGTGCTGGGCAATGAGTGGTCACATGGAACCCTCACAAACAAAACTAAACAATAATAATAATAATAATAATAATAATGGAGCCCTCACAAATATTTTGAAAAAAATTGTTTATTTGGATATATAACTATTCCTTTTCTTACATTTATATTTGAAAGTACTAAACACATATAATTTCATGCTGGACTGATAACAACCTAGTTTGTTTTGTTCTAGCTGGAGCACCCCCAGCTGGTTTGACAGTTGAGCAATGATAGAGGTGGAGGCCCAACAGAGGGCCCACTAACATGGTGTCTCAGCAATTGCTTTTGAACTCATCTAACGAGGGAGGAGGTTCAGATTCACTCACTCTATAATTCACCTTACCCATTTGGTTCTCAATTATTTGGGCCGACTTCTCAAAAAAAGTAAGCCATGTCCAAAGAATGCGCAAGGGGTACAACATTTATTGCTTACCTTTTTTTTTCTCTCCTTTATTTATTTATGTGTTTGTCATTTTTTTCTTTTGGGTTGGATTTTTTTTGGGGAAAAAGAAGGGGAGGAGGGTAAATGGTGTTTCTTTCATATTGTACTTGAATAGATAAGGGCTCCTGCTTCTATGAATTGGAACAAAAACAAGGGAAAAAAAAGAGGAAAAGGGGGCATCACAATGTAGCAGAATTCTCAGTTTATTTGAATTGGCAAGTGAGACCAAATTTTCAAAGAGTAGATAGGCAAAAGAGGGAAGTAGTGAGGCCAATGTCTTGCCAGATTCGACTGGTTCGAATGACCCAAACTGGGCCCATTTTGATTTTGTATGTGGGCATTCACCATTGCTGAAATTGAACTGGTGAAGCAGTTAAACTGGGGTAAGCCATATAGCTCAATCACTGTATCGGATTGAAGCGTTTAGGGTTTACTTTTCAGCCATTCTGGTCTTGTGAGACCCAGCCATCTCATCCTTGGTCAGCCTAATGGCTCGACCCAAGTGGGACCCACCACCCCTCTCACCAGGTTGACATCTGGGTTGGATTTTAAGAGGTTGTTTGAGACTGAAAATTACATCTTTGGCTTATTTAGGAGTGCTTCTTAAACTAAAACCAATTATTTAACAAACAACAGAGTCTAGAGAGAGAGAGAGAGAGAGAGAGAAAGCACCTATTAAGCTTGTTTAGGTACTAAGATAGGTGGGGAAGGTAGATAGAAAAATGAATCTTGGAATGAGAGCGGTGCTTAGGCCCATAAATTATGTGCACAAGTAGGAGGGTAGTTAAGCAGCCCAACCTCCATCCAAATAAATCAAACTGGGCTCCATCCAATGCAAATCCCTTCCTCTCTGGAAGCTGCAACAGGTCTACTACTTCTACAACCTGGAGGGGGGGAGTCTGGACAGTGGACAACCTGTGGACCCTCCTAGCTATGGATTAGACAACCCACGTTTCATTTCTTGAGGAAACCTAATCCTGGTGTCTTCATTTCTCTAATAAATCGAGCCCCATTTGCATCTTAAATGAAGACACCAGGTACACAGACAGCTAACCAATATTCAGACTTTGTATCTATACCGTAGGACACCAGGACTATATCCCACCCTGAGCAGGAATTTGTATTTGATTGATTCAAAGGCTTGGATCCAGTTGGATATACCTACCACTCATATATCTCAAATGGGGATCTTACATCAAACTATGTATAATTAATAGAATTACACTAAAAACATTATCACATGTGAATCTGATGTCATACCTCCGGAATAAAATGATTCTAAAATAGTTTCTTATAACTTAGGGGTTGTTTGGTAACATCTGAAGTGGCTGAATTGAATGATTAGCTATCATCAAATGGTCCCTTAAGCCGTCTGAGTGGTGGCTCGGTTGGCATGTTAGCTGGGTAGTCCCAGTAGAGACACGGATTCAAATCTCAGTATTTCCACCTATACTGAAAAGTTAGTGTGTTGTGTTAGATACCAAAAAAAAAAACAAGTGGTCCCTGGGTTCTAGTTTGGTTGCAGAACAAATTTCTTTTGCACGGTGTCAATGCATGAGAATGCAAAAGGGCTGTATAAATTCTGGTTTGCATTTGGTTTAGGAGTAGTTTTTATCCTGGAGTAAGATAGGATGCAAGATGACGTTATCCCCACTTTATATGAGAAAGAATTGTGGTAGGAGAAAGGTGGTACAAGTTTTGCATCAGTCTTTAAGAAGTTAAATTTGCACTGCCAATTAATGCAAAAGAAACAAAAAGAAAGTACAAATTTTGTGTTAGATATGAATGCAAATTACAGTTGCAAATAAACAAAAACAAAAGTGAATATAATACAAATTTTGCACCTGATCAAGATTTGCACTGTCATCAATTGCGGCCTTAGTATACAATATTGTGTTCAAACCAATTTTACTAATAAATACATGTTACTCTTCTCTGCTATTTATATTCAAACCATTAGGATTGGATTTAGGTGGATCCATTTTTAATCCAACTATAGGTCAAATTCATATCAACTACAAGTCAATTGAACAAATGAATGCCATCTGCTGCAGTCCTCGTAGGAATAATTTTCATTTGTTTGCAATGCAATTACATTCACTTTGGCTCAATTTGGAAAGAGTATAAATGCAAACATGCACGATGCAAATATATATAAAATAATACAAAATACAAAGTTTTGCATTCTACATATTTGTAATTGTACTCCTTCCAAATGGAACCCTTAATACAAATGTTTGAACATTCAAATGAGAAGAATTCAAAATTTGGCCTAGATTTACTTCAAGTGTTACTTTCCTTCAAGTTTTATTTTACTTGCAATTAAAACATTTACACTCCCATATTTTTTGTTTGCATTAAAGCAAATAAAATTACAAGCAAACCAGGCCTAAGAACAAGAACAACGTGAATAAAGATCATGCGTTGAATTTGGTTCAATGATCGAATAATGAAGCTTCAGTTGTACAACTTAAAAATGGATCACATTATGAGCAACACCCAAATAATTAATGGAATCCAAACAGTACACTAGCGTAGACTCCCATCCACTTACTATATGTAGAAATTATTTAACAGAAAATATAAAAAACAGGAGGACAAAAAGGGGAGCGTGCAGTAAAGCTCCGGTTGAGCTGGACAGAGTAAATATGGGACCCAAACGTATTGGGATGACACGTGGAGACAGGTAGATGCATTGACAGGTGGCAAGGGAGGTGGCACACACGGGTTTGTTGGTTGGAGCCCTCCTCATCTTTTAAAAGGTGGGCTGTGACGTTAAAGAGCCTTTAAGGCAAACCCAGCCCATCCACATGTGACTCTTTAATTAATTTATTTTGTTCTTTTATTAACAATTATATTAATAATAATAATTATACGGTGAAAAAAAAAGTTGCAACGCCCAAAGGAGGAAAATAAAAAAAAAGCGTGATTCTTGTGCCTTACGAGAGACGGGTCTCTTTCTAGATTCTATTCCCCATAAATAGACTGGATCTCTAATTACGAAAATATCCTCCATCTTCCCACTGAATGACCTTTGCCTCCTCCAATGTTTTTGCCGGACAATATCGATTATAAAAGAAATCCCCGCTTATTTTTTTAAGGTACAGTATTGATCTCGAATTAACTAGTAAAAGATCCTAATCCGACGGTTTTAAGCATCGGCTGTTGGCCTTATTGCTGGTGCCTCATATCATGTGAACTGAGCACATCTTTTATTGATTGATACGTTTTTTCTTCTGCAAGTGGTCCACAGAAGAGGCAGCTCACTAACACAGTTGTAAGCCATCACAACCATGAATTGGATTCGGAGGTTGGGGCCCCAATCGGGCCGCTGACTATGTTGATCCAACGCTTTATAAGCGGACGTGATCTCCGGTTCCAAACCCAGGTTGCTGAAATGGAGTGAGTGATGGCGTTGACAGAATGACAGTCCTATACAGTCAACCAGAGTATTAGCTTAAATAAAAGAAAAAACGATATAATGATAATAAAGACGAGGGGTCATTGAAAAGGAGGCGTCGAACTGTCGAAGAAGGAAGAACCCATAAAGGGCATAGTCGTAAATTCAGAGTGGATGCCCATAAATAAGGGGAAAAGAGATTTCTTGCACTTTCTTTACTTTCTGTTTGAGGCTTTGAGCAATTTGGCTGGCGTCTTATCTTTTCTCCGTTAGACGAACCCGGGTACCCGTGATGAGTTACGGGCTGTAGCCGGTGAAGATGTGACGCTTTTACCGGGTAAAGGCAGTCAATGAGGGGAAGTGGGTCTATTTTTCTCTTTTAATTCGGGGGTTGGGTGGGAGTGGTAGAGTAGCGTGAGGTGGGAGAGGTATCTGTGGTGCCAGCGAAGAAGTCGAAGGATCAAAGCTTTCTCTGAGTCAAAGCTGGCAGTTCTTTTAGGGTTTGTTTTTTCTCTTCCCACCCTATTTACCTTTCGACATTTAGGCTTAAAACCATTACCTCTCACTCTTTCTCTCTCTCTCTCTCTCTCTGCTTCTTCTCCGTCTCTCTTTCCCTCTCTACTTCCTGTTGTCCCTCTAATGTGAGAGAAATGAGGAGGCTTTGAGGGAACTGTAGTGGTTGATGCATCTGCAACCATGTCGACTTCTCCATCTTTGGCTGGTGTGGAGAAGAAGCATTGGTGGCTTCGCAATAGAAAGGTGGGTTTCACTTTCTCTGCTTCGTTATTCGTTTTTTCTTACCGATGATCTACTGTGGGGGATTCGATTTATCGCCTTCCTTCCCCTGTTTTATTAAGCTTTCTGCCACTGTTGCTGTTTCATTTTGGGTTTTCCGGACTGCCCTGCGGTCGACTTAGTTGATCATCTTTTCGGGTTTTGTTCTTGTTTTTTGTTTGTTTGAACGATTTCTGATTGACCCATCCACYCCAGTGAGGCCTTTATTTCTGGGTTCCTTCTGTTCGATTTGTTCAGTGGCATTGTTTGTTTACACCGGAACTCCATCTTAACTGACCTGCATTTGCTTCTCAGATCGTAGACAAATATGTAAAAGACGCTCGAGTACTCATCGCAACCCAGGAGCAGTCGGAGATCGCCTCGGCCCTCAACCTCCTCGATGCCGCTCTTTCCCTCTCTCCGCGGCTTGAGTCGGCTCTGGAGCTCAAAGCTCGATCCCTCCTGTACCTCCGGCGCTTCAAGGAGGTCGCTGACATGCTCCAAGAGTACATTCCGAGTTACAAGATGGTTTACGAGGAATCGTCCCTCTCCTCCGATAACTCTTCTCAGCAGCTCTCAAGGGAGCGAGTTAAGCTCCTCTCGTCTGATAACTCAACAGACTTTGCAGATCATAAACCTTCATTCAAATGCTTCTCTGTGTCCGACTTGAAGAAGAAAGTCATGGCCGGCCTCTACAAAAACTGTGAAAAGGAAGGCCAGTGGAGGTAATTTCCTCGTTTATCTCTCCATCTTTTGCTATTTAGCTACTTCCTTTGTTTTCATTGTATCCTGATTTTTGCTTGTTTAATTCAAAGTTCAAACTGAGACCACTAGAATAAGAAATTAGTTAACTGATCCGGCGCCAACCAAATCCAGAGGGTCATACCGGAGTTTCTAAAATTCTAACTTTGACCAAACATGTTCGGATCATAGGGGGTAGCGTCGTCATTTAGGGCTATGTTGATCTTCAATTAGAGAAGAGGACAAATTTCTGTGAGCCGGCTGGTTCTGTAAATTTCCCTGTTTGAATTATCGAACCGGTCGCTGACCCTCGATTTTACGATGTAGGTACTTGGTTTTGGGTCAAGCTTGCTGCCATCTTGGGTTAATGGAAGACGCTATGGTGCTCCTTCAGACCGGAAAACGCCTAGCCTCTGCGGCATTCCGGCGGGAAAGCGTGTGCTGGTCTGATGATAGTTTCACCTTCTCCAACGTAGCAAGTTGCAGTGACTTGAACACCACCAATGCTCCAACCACAACTCCACCAACGGAATCCGAGAGTGTGACGCAACTTCTCAGCCATATCAAGCTCCTCCTCCGGCGCCGCACGGCCGCTCTTGCTGCCCTTGACGCCGGCCTATACTCGGAGGCCATTCGCCATTTCTCCAAGATCCTTGATGGACGCCGGGGCACCCCACAGGGATTTCTTGCTGAATGCTATATGCACCGAGCGGCAGCTTATCGAGCTGCCGGTCGAATTGCTGAGGCCATTGCAGATTGCAACCGCACCTTGGCACTTGACCCAACTTGCATTCCTGCCCTCAGCACACGGGCCTTGCTCCTGGAGGCCATCCGTTGCCTTCCCGACTGTCTCCGTGACCTGGAACACTTGAAGATTCTCTATGATTCAATCCTCCGAGACCGAAAGCTACCGGGTCCTGCCTGGAAGAGGCAAAATGTTCGGTACCGTGATGTGCTGAGCAATCTCCGCCAACTCACAGCCAAGATCCAGGAGTTAAGACAGAGGGTTGCATCAGGAGAGACGGGCAACGTGGATTACTATGCATTGATTGGGTTGCGGAGGGGGTGCTCGCGATCTGAGTTGGAAAGGGCACATTTGTTGCTAACCTTGCGTCACAGGCCTGATAAGGCGATGAATTTTGTGGATCGGTGTGAATTTGTAGACGATCGTGATCTTGAATCTGTTAAGGATCAAGCGAGGATGTCGGCGTTGCTGCTATATCGGCTGCTGCAGAAGGGTTATTCCAGTGTGATGACTACAATCATGGACGAGGAGGCAGCGGAGAAGCAGAGGCAGAAGGCTGCAGCTGCACTACAAGCCGCAGCAGCAGCAGCTGCAGCACTTCAAATTCCAGCTGCAGAACCAAAACCGGAAGAGGAATCGAGTAAGTCGACGGCACAGATGCAAGATAGGAAACAGCAACAGCTAGCTTCATCGTTAGATTACAGTAGTGACAGCAGTGTGGAACCAATGCCGGATAAGAAGGCCGCGACGGCAGCCGCGGCAGCATCCGTTTTCCAAGGGGTTTTCTGTCGGGACATGGCCGTAGTTGGGCATTTGCTGTCGCAGGCCGGGTTTAACCGCTCAATTCCGGTAAAATACGAGGCATTGAGCTGCTGATAATGAACAAATAAGCTTTGGGACCTCAGTCGACGAAGTCCCTTTCTTGCCAGAAGGAGGGGGTCTACTCGATTCATCTGTTTCTTCATCCATCTTTTGTACAAAAATTCCGCCGGGAAAATTTTGTCGCCGCTACCCCCCCTTGTGTAGTTAGTTCTTCTCAGTTACCTCTCTGTTTTTATTTCTATTTCTTTTTTTTTAGATTTTTTGCTTTCTTCATGTAGATGTACAGTACAGTACCCATTTCTACGTTTGGATTATAAGCTTTCACATCTCTTTCTCTCTCCTTTCTTCCAATGAATGAGGCGTAGCATTTATGATGAATGTTGTTTTCTGAGGAGTGAGGAGCTCTTTCCTGAGGGTGGTTGTTCTAGTTCTCTGTTCTCTTACTAGTCTTGTGGTGACTTCTGTACGTTGTTTTTCAGTCTCTCAGTCTCGTCCATGTGTTGTTGAATGGTTGGTGTGCGAACTGTCTGTGATCCAGTCTCTGGAGAATAGAGATGGCTTTTTCTAGTTTACGTGGCTATGGCTTTCTTTCCAGAATGGGCAGAGCTGTCTTTACAAAAGACCTGTTTTTTCACATGGAGATGGACCATTGGGCCACGGCTGGGCGTAGGCATACATAATTCTGCTAAAACGCACATTAGAGGTGTTCATTTGTTATTAAACACCTGCTTAAAGAATGAGATTTGAGCAGCGATCACTATTCTGACTTTATCACTTAACCAGAATAAAAAAAAAAAAGATCTATAATCTCCCTCTTGTCGTTTTGTGCTTCATATACAGCCCATAAGGCTAGCTTATGTTTTAACACGACTGAGGTGGCAGTCTGTAACCCCACTCTAGAACTGGAATGATGGCTTCCTCTGGTTTTTTTTTCCCCATCCACCAGCTCGATCTATAGCTCCACTGTAAACTCTTTATGGCTGTTGGGAGCCAGGGAGCCACGTCGTTTCCTTGCATATTCAAAAGCTGGACTCGATTCAGACATCAGAACTTTGAAGTTTGAATCCAGCACTCAGACCTCTAGGCTCTAGTGTCTCTGAGAGTTTAGCGGTGTGGATTCCGGTTTTACGTTTCTGTAAGACAAAACCTTTTCCATTAAAATCAAAAGATTGAAAACTTGAGAGGATTGTCCCTGGCCGTTCCTGAAATCACCACTCTATTAGTATTTGGCTGATGACTGAGAGTTTGGGTTCCGATTTGCATATGACCGGACGGATGGAGAGTGGAAACTTGTTTCTAATGATAACAATACTCGAGTACCTCCGGTCCGTCTGAAACGGACAATGCAATGCATATAAAGCAAGCATACATCGGTCAATGAAAGGTAGTCATTTTCTAATTGGCTGGACACCTACTCGAGTTTAGGTGGCACTCCTCCTTGTTGTTTATTGGCCTTTTTCAGCATTTTGTTGTTTTCGAGGGTGGTACCGTACATTGTAGAGAGTTATTGTTAGAAACAAAGGAAAGGACTCGGAGAGTAGAAAACATCCCTGTTTATCATGGATCAATACCATGGTTTCCCATTTGGGTTAATTTTCAGATTATATGCATTCTGGTTGTATATAGTAAGTTTCAATCATACAAAACAAACTAACTTCGGCATTGTATAAACGCACCGAAATTTTGACAGATTCAGAAATCTCATTAAATTGGGCTGCAATTAAAAAGCCTGGGTCAATGCTCGGCAACCATATCCATGTGACTGTGAATAACGTCTCAGCCTCTCAAGTCCGTGACGACTGATGACTCTTGCTCGCTCGCCATGCGTAACCCTTCACCATGATTACACCATTGCCCGCACTGCACCACCACCACCACCACCACCACCAACCACAACTCACAACCTAAGAGGCATGCAAAGTTTTAAAAGGCTTAAGTCTTAGTTGAGGCGTAGTGGTTAAAAAAATTAAAGCGTAAACTTTAAAATTTAAGAAAAAAAAGAAATTATAAATAATAAAAATAATGTGTAATATGTCAAGTTAAAATGATGGAAGGTACAAATATTCATAAAATAAAAGTTTATAAATATGAAGTTTTAGCTTTTAAGCAGTAATTAAAAATAATAATTATAAGTATTTTATATTTCATATTTCAAAATTCAATCTTATGAAATTATTCATATGAAAAACCATCTATATGGGCATTAGATTTATGGTTGGGGTATCGGGTAATATTGGTTGCTTTTTTTTTCAAATCCGGTTCAAAGGGGCTGGTTTAAGGTCCTTCCACCCCCTGAACCGGTCAAAACCCTGATAGATCCTTTGTAGGGGCATATCGGGAAGCTCCCAATATGGGCCGATACGTGTTGATTTTTTGAACCTTGCATCCAACAGTTGTGAAAAAAGAAACAATGTGGTTTATTTGATATATATAAAAAAATCAATAAAAAGAAAAATAAATCAATTAAAAAAATGAGAAAAACAACAAACTTGGGATGTTAAACTAGAACATTAAGAAAAAAAATACCATTTCATTTATCCAAGAGAAACTAATAACTTGATTGGCTTTTTTTTTCACATTAAACTCTCTTAGGCTAAAATACTAAGAGAAACTAATAGAACTTGATTTGTCTTATTGGTTTTTGATATTTACCCTTTTTATTTGGCCCATAATTATTGAAGTGCTTTTTCTATATATTTTGAACTATAAAAATCACATAAAAATATTTATTTATTTATTTTTGCATGAAACTACTAAACAATATTGATATTTGAGGCTTACACCTTTTTACGCCTCATGTTAAGCCTCACACCTTGAGGCTTGAGGCTTACGCCTCATTCTAACAAGGCTTAAGCTTTGAGGCAAAATCTAAGCGCCTTGCCTCAAAGTGTACGCCTCACGCGGCTTAAGCCTTTTAAAACTTTGGAGGCAATAATACAAATGCCACCCCTATGGCCCTGACTCGGAGTGTTTGTTATTTGGGCTGCATTTGTTTGCCATACAAACATCCAATTAGGTTATCTATGTATCCTGGTTTGGGTTTGTGAGCGTTTGTTTGCCATACAAAAGTAAATTGATTAAGAGGAAAAAATATTGACATATTTGTATCGTGAAGAAAATGCACAAACTTGTACTCTTTCCTTCTCCATGTTTATAGGTTTACTTATTTTGTCAATCGAGCAAGAGAGACTACGGTTGCAAATGATCCAATCCGAGATCCATCCTATTTGGTCTAATTCAGATCACCTCCTATTCGGATCTTCAGGTTGGATAATAGAATCAGATCAGAAATTGGATCGGATTTGGATCACCCCCTATCCGATCTGGTATATATTATATATTTATAAATATAAATATATTAATACATATATATATGTATATATGTTATTTATTTATAAATATATTTTTATAAATTTGTTATATTATTTATTTTTTATAGAAAACATATATATATATGATAAAAATAATTAAAAATACTTGTATTTTTTTGTTTCTATTTTATTTAAATTAATATATTTTATTTTTCTTTAGTAATTCATTTATTTTAAAGAGAACAAGTTGGATCTGATCAGATCCCAAAAATTCAACTTACCAATATGATTCAAATTCAAATCAAGCCCTATCAGATCCGATGAAATCTTCGAATTGAATCCAATCCGACATGAAAAGAGTCGGATATCCGACCTGTTTGCATCATAAGAAAGACCACCATACATCGATTTGGGATAAAAAAAGAAGAGTACAAAATGGGTTTATTAAACGGAAGAAAAGGTATTTATATAAAGTACAAATTTGTGTTTGTATTGCAAACAAACGCAGCCTTATTCCTCCGATTGTTTTTCTGTTTGTAATTAATAAGAGAAGCGAAACTCGCGGTAGCGATGGTTTGTTGGATAGACCCATTGATAAAATTGATTACCTTTGACGGCTCATTCAATTCATTAACTTCCAAACCATCCCGTACTTGCATCGGATCCCTCTCAACTCTCATAAGGAGTCAGGTCACGGTCTTCCATCTCCCCGTCCCACTAAAGTTCATTACTTAATAAATTCATCCACGCGAGCCAACGACAAGAAAAAGGAGAAAAAAAAAATTCTCAAATTATTTGAAATTATTAAGCTAGTACAGACTAACGAGCAATTCCAGCCAATCCGTGAACTTATTAAATTTAATAATTTAGGTATTTTCGTAAAAGTTAAGCCCCAAATTACTCCCTAAATACCTAATTCTTCGACCCGATAGTTTGGTAGTTTAGTTCAAAAATGCTGATTAGGTTCTTAATATAGTTAGTTAATTAGAATGAAACATGTCTAGAATTTGTTGAACATGTGAAGATTACAGACAATTTGCTCATGATATCCAGCCAATTTTGACTTAAATAAATACCATTTTAATATTAATACAAGACTTAATTAATGCTTCTGGGCTTTGATATGCTATTAATCCATTATAATTAATACATCTGCATTAATGTTTTCAACGCCGTTGGATCCAAAATGGGCTCCTCATTAATGACACACCCGGCTCAACTTTTATCTTTTCCGAGGGCCCATTTATGGAGGAGGACCCTGGGTGGGTGGGTCCCCCACCTTAGATGGATCAGATTGGCTGCTACATTTTCATCGATCGTACCACTGCATGCGGACAAATCATCAACTGATTCCTGGCGTTACAATTGGACAAAAGAATTTGTTGCCACTCGTCAGTTGGACTATGGTGGATCGTTTTTTTTTATTTGGGGGGGGGGGGCGGATACGGATTATGTTAAGGTGACCTCAGAGTTCAAACTCCGAAGAGAAGCAGAGACAGACCTCAGACTTCGATTTTGTCAACGAGCTTCTCATATACAAAACTCAACTCCAACAGACTCCCCACATGGCCCCCCACTGAGGCGTCATATTACGAGATTGCCACTCTGTACTCTCGAACCAACCATCATTGGATTCTGCTGGGCTGCACGTTTTCTGTGAGCTCGCAATTAAGGACAAAATCGTACAGGGATGAGGTAATTGAGGGGATGCAGCACGAGGGCAGTTTGGTCATATGGGAAAGCGTATCTAGGATTAAATTCCAAGAAAAGCAATAGTGGCGGTTGGTATCTGACAGAGAATTACTTAATTAATGCAGAATTCAAAGCTTGAGGCGTTAATTAACGAGTTGTTAATTAGAATCAAGGCAAGCGGGAAAGGGGGAAGCGGATGTGGGAAGAAACATGCTTTCAGCCTTTCACAGCTTATTGATCGACTTACCTTGAAATCCATAAAGTATTAAAGCAACTGCATTTTTTTTAGTATTTATCGATTTAATTAAGAACTAATTGGGGTTTAAAAAATTTTTAAGCATTGTTTATTTTCTTGTGGTGAAAGAAAAGGGGTTG